ACTGTTGTGGATTTCATTGATTGATGAAGCCATGTTTTGGTTTGATCACAATGTGCTAGCTCTTTTCCAACCTGACCCTATGTCAGCTAACATTGCCTGTCGAGGAAGGCGATGGCTTGGTGGTATACGTAACACATGTCCTAACCATCTCAGTCGATGTAGCTTCACAGCCTCCTCGATTGATTTCCCCTTCTTACCTAGCACTCGTCCGAAGCCTAACCTCAATATTGCTTAACCTACTATACCACTTCACATGGGACATAGAATGCAGGCACCTATGATCTTCTTCTTCTTCATGTCTTCCACTCTCAATGGCCAGGTCTCACAGCCATAAAGGAGGATGAAGCGGACTGCTGAGCGGTACACCCGCCCTTTGGTCGATAGCCAACCAGATTTCACGTCTGCCATAGACGACGTAAACTGGCATATGTGAAACTAGCCCTTTGTATCCGTGCTGAGATCTCGTCATAGATCAACCCGTTGGGGCTGATGCAACTTCCCAAATAAGTGCAGAGATCAATGCGCTCTGCCACTTCACTCTCTATTTCTAAGCTAGGAGTCAATGTAATCCGGTTCACTCCTGTAGCATTATCTTGCACTTGATAGCAGGAGCGAATCGTATGCCAAACAAACATTGGAAGATTGCAGCTCAAGGCATTCAGAAGACTCCGCATTTTGTCAGCGTCTTCGCCTAGAAGGACTATATCGTTTGCATATTCTGAGTCAACGAGATTATTCCCTGGTAGCAAGTCAATCCCTGAGTCGCTGAAGTCAGCGGTTAGGGTTAATTCCATTAGTACATCTATGGTGAAATTGTACAGAAACTATAAGTTCAGTAGGGTATCCTGATTTATGAACTTTAACAACACCATACCTCCTACTGGGGTTATTAGTTTTGGGCATTAAATTAAATCGTTTAGACTCACCTAGAAACGGCTTCATTCGGCGTATAAGGTCCACTGTGGATTTATTAACCTTATTTATAACGGTGTCTATTGATTTATTAATTTCCTCATATGGTCCAGTTTGTCCAAATAGTCTGATTTGTCTAATATTACTGTTGCATTTCCTTTGTCTCACTTTGTGATTACTATATCCTTGTTATTCTTAAGGTGTTTTAGGGCTTCCATCTCTGGTTTTGTCGGGTTAGGCTTTCCTTGCTTTTGTCGTTTCAATGTTGGTGCACATTGTTCCCGTACTTCGTCAGCCGTCGTTTTGTCTTTCCCACTTAGTGCCGTTCCTATTTTAAGGATGAATCCTCAGGTTTCAGCTTGTCTACTGCTACATTTGATTTGAGTATACTTTGACATTTCGAAAGTTGCTGATTTGGCATTGCTAGAGGACTGTGTTGTATGATCATAATCCACATTGGTAACTATTCTCATTAGCTTTTGCTTTAACTGCTCAATTTCATATCTGATATGGTGCAACTTTTTAACAATTGTGTGGATCCCTTCTTTTAGGCATAATTTTTGTAAACTTTCTATTCTGCTTCTAACTTTGTCTGTCGGGTTCTGGGGCTCATAGACGTAGGTATTTAGGAATGATTTCATTTTTCAAGCATCGAATGTTGAAAAATACTTTGCTTCCGTTTGGAGTAAAGTTGCGATGTAATCTGTTTACGTCAACAAGTTCACTGACGCACACACACACACAGGAGTCAGACAAGGGTGCCTATTATCACCAATGATATTCCTAATTGTGGTGGACTGGATTATGCGTCAGACAGTGGGAAACGAGAAGACAGGGATATCCTGGACCGACGTGAAGAACCTAGAAGACCTGGATTTCGCGCGCGGATGATTTATGTTTGATGTGACACAAAATCGAAAACTTACAAGCGAAAACCGACAAACTGGTCGGAGAAGCAGCAAAAACAGGACAGGACTCCAGGTGAACATAGACAAGACGGAGATTATGAAAATAACCAACCAACAACAACAGCAGCAGCAATATCCAGCGCCAATCACCATGGACGGGAGGGATTTGAAAGAGGTTACTTCATTCACTTATGTAGGGAGCATTGTCTCAACTACAGGAGGAACGGACGAAGATGTCAAATCGAGAATCGGGAAGGCGAGGAACATATTCATCAACCTGAAATCAATCTAGAATTCTTCGTCACTCAGCATCAACAACAAAATTTGGATTTTCAATACAAACGTCAAGTCAGTCAGTTCTTCTATACGGATGGATCAGAAACTTAGCGGCGGGTGACAAAGAATGAATATTTCCAACAGCCTGTTGCAGACCTTTATCGACAACTGTCTTCGCTCTATACTGAAGATCAGATGGTTGGAAAGAATCACCAACAAGAAACAAACTATTGGAAGAAACAAAACAAGAACCAATCGCTCAACAAATATGCAGGAGAAAGTGGAGATGGATTGGACACTTGCTGAGGAGGCCGCTGGGTGACATCGCGCGTCAGGCCATCGCTCGAGTGGAACCCGAAAGGTAAGCGGCGAGTGGGACGTCCAAGGGTGACATGGAGGAGATCGTGTGAAGAGGAACTGAAACAGTATGGACGAACATGGATGCAGGTGAAAAGTACAGCAGAAGACAGAAGTAAGTGGAAACGTGCATTTGAAGCCCTATGTTCCACTAGGAACCCAAGGGAACAATAATAATAATAATTTAATTGTAACAAGTAACGTGCATTACTCATTGATCAATCTTCATTTGTGAATTAATATTATCACAACACATTATAGAAGATGTGAAGTATACAGTGCACTTCTGCAACCTGTACTAAAGATGTTATTGTCTGTCAATGCAGTGTCATTGTCATTCATTGTCATTTTTATTGTCATTTCGCCTGTGTTCTTTGTGCACTTCTGACTCTCTTCATTCAAAATAAAGAAAGAGAGTGTAAAAAAGAACCTATTTGCAGACAGAACAATAATATGAGCTCGTTTTATTTCGTCGATTCTCTTAAACACTGAGTAAATCCTAAAGTAAAATGAAATTATAGGTTACAAAAGGACTGACTGAACAACATACTTTACTCACAGTGACATCGTCTAGTTATAGATGGAAAGTATAAGCGCAGAAGAATTCCAAAATGATTTAAGTAGACAAATTATTGATAATTTCCTCTTCTAGCTCTACAATTATATATACATATGTTTAAATATATATATAGAATATTCTAGAATAGTAGTCAATAACAGCATTAGTGTGTTTTGTAAATAATATCGATTTGTAAAGTAAGATCAATACAATTACCACAGTTGATTAAAAATGCCTTAATTATAATAATAACAACAAAGATATAATATCAAATAGAATTTCAGCTAAAATTAGGAAAATTCCACAAAAATTGAGGATCATTCGAACCTAGATGGCCAAGGTAAGGATAATGTCTGAACTAACTTCTTTTAGAAGCACAAATTAGGCTTCCTAATGTGGATCCCAACAACCAGCCTCAGTATTATTTAGTAATTGGACTCTTACGGTGAAGTTAAGATTTGTTGGTATGTGGTAAATGACTTTGAAAGCCGCCTCGTTGACATCAATCTTGTGTTCTGTATCCACAAGATGAGATATAATAGCTCTACGAATAAATTTTGTTTGTCCTTTACCTAACCACACAGGATGATGTTCGGAAATTCGACGAGAAACACACCTAATAGTATGGCCTATGTAACTGGCTATCATATTATTATTATTATTATTATTATTATTATTATTATTATTATTATTATAATTTAAGCATCTTTAATGAACTGTGGTAATTCCATTGATCTTACTTTACAAATCAATATCATTTAAAAACACTAACATTGTTATTGACTACTAATCTAGAATATTCTATGTATTTTAACATATGTATATATAATTGTAGAGCCAGAAGAGGAAATTATCGAAAATGATATTCGTTACTCAATTATTTTGTGTTTTTTATAAATGTCTGAATGAATATTTCCGCTAAATTATTGAGTTTTGAAAGGATCACTATTTTTGATTCAGTTAGATAGGAGATGAAAGGTATTAGTTCAGATTTGACTTAGAAACAATGACTGACTTAAGACAAAAAAAAGATTGAACAACACATGGTCAATTTAATGTATGTTATAATGGAGAGTTCAGAAGGTTGGGAGTGAATAATTAAGTAAAATTATGACATAGACAAAACAATTGAGTTGATTTGGGAACTTAACAGTGAGTACAACTCATTAAATGAAAATCAAAATTACGGTTACCAGGGTATATATATGAATGTGTATATAAATATATATGTATGTATATCTTCCTGTATACAGAGGTTGGGTCAAAGTCTTTTGGTGATAACAATGGCTTCTGAGAACCGAAGTAACCATGGATTTCTTTATGTATTAGTTATTTTGAAAGCCTGACTAATTTCCGCTGTATGTCGCGTGTCATTTGAGTGTTTGGAAATTGTACCCGAGAACACTCTTCTAAGACTGAATAATTTGTCTACTTACATTATCTTTGAAATTATGTTGCACTTATACTCGCCATCCACAGCTCGAATTCACTGTGAGTAAAGTATGTTCACAGTCAGACTTTGTGTAACTTATATTCTGACTTTGTTTAGGGGGTATGCAGTTGAAGAGAATCCACGAAATGAAGCGAACTCGTGTTATCCTGCATGTAAATATGCTCGTTCGTTCTCTATTCCAACTATAATAAAGAGGACCCTAGTTGTATGAAAATCTCATCAAATTTTAATTATCATTAGAGATAATTCTATGTGAGTGATGTTGCGTATATGAAGTGGGTTTGATTTACAGCCAACTCAGACCTAGACCTTACCTTACCTATTCGCTAGTAAGCCTAATAAAAAAAGGGAAAGTTTAGAGTGAGGCTAGCGAACCCAAACTTCAAAATTCAAACTTGAATGCAAAAGGGAGATATAATTCTTTAAAAAAATCAAATTCATATATGTGTATATGCCTTGTAAAAATTATGTGATTTCGTTAATGAAATGCTATTGCATTCTTTGCCACCTTTTTTATTTTCCAATTGCAATTTAGGAAATCCTGTGTAGTCACTATGGCTGAACGTGTTCGTCAAATGAGACAAGGACTTTATGAAGGATTGAAGAGCTTAGGAACACCTGGAAATTGGGAGCATATTATTAAACAGATCGGCATGTTTTCTTTTACTGGTTTATCACGTAAGTTATTAAGTTGGTGTTTTTTTGTTTTTATTTATTTCATTTACTTAAGATCATCATTAAAATTATACATACTAATTCTATCACGTGTTTATATTTCGTATAATTACTTGAACTACTTAATAATTAATTTAAGTAGTAGATAATCGTTTGGTGAAATTTCAACGACATTACACATTATTTTCAAACGTGTAAATGAAGTCTAATATAATCTCTCAGAGAAATTGTTTCGTTGATTTCTTTCAAAAGGAATATCATCATCCTAATTACACTAAGTGATTATATCTTGGAGACATAATGAAGTGTTACTAGATTTCTGATCATCAATTCACCACTGCTCATTTGATTGCCTAGTGTGTAGAGTTTATTCGCCGTACATCTACATCTGATCGATATATTTTATTCTTAATATTTGACTGACTGAAAACTATGGGAAATGGATGTATGATGGAAGTATCTATGTTGGTGAGTGCTGGCGCTGACACATCATTTATAAATCTCTGTGCTGTTCTTAAGATAAATACTGAACTTACACACTCTCATCATGGAACTCATTGTAACATTATTATTGTGCCCGTGGTTTCCGAGTGGAACATAGAGCTTTGACAACGCATCTCCACTTTGTTCTATTTTCTGCTGTCCTCTTCATCTGGGGCCATGATTACTCATAGTCTATCATCACCTTCATGTCACCCTAGGATGACGCACTCTTCGTTCTCCATTCAGATTCCACTAGAGAGCCTGGCGCGCGATGTCATTTGATAGTCTCTTCAACGTACGCCCAATCCATCTCTATTTTCTCCTACATACTCGTTGAACACCAATTTGTTGTTTTGTTCGTTCCCATAGATTCTTTATTTCATTAATGTAGAAAAATATAATTTTTGACTTAGTGTGTTACAGTAATGTGTGAAATGTAAGTTCTTAGCTAATACAAATTAGAAGTAATCTATTCGGATCTTTATTTTTCCTTTTTGAATGCATTTATGAAAACTTCTTACACGAGAACAAGTTCCTGTGCGATTTCAGTGGCCAGACAATTAAAGCTACCATCATCACAGTGATGAAGTTATTTCTAAGTTCTGGGCGATTATACGGCATATCCTTTTTTTTTGAAATGGCTCCTCACCTATATCCCGTGGGTATTAGGGCATCTCAGTAAATAGGCTAAAATATATACCAGCATAATTTCATGAAAATTCGATGATGTACATTTAACCTTTTGAAATTACTGTCGCCTCTTTAATCCATTACAGCATAGCGCAGATATCAGTATCAAGCAAGATTTTTGTTTAGTAAAGGTGCAGCAAATGCAACTCAGTTCAATGAATATATATAATGCTACCGGACAATATGCACGCCAAAAAATAATTTCTATACAAAATTTAATTGAAAAAGCATATTAAAAATATAACCTGTCATTAAACCACCATAGTAACAGACTAGGTCGCTACAATAAGCGGGAATATAGCAATAAAGCCACTGTACTACCCCTACGACAAATAGGAAAGAATAAAGAAAGCTATGCGTCGGTGGCATAACGGTTAGGACGCTCGCCGACTATGATGCACATGCTCCGGACTTCGACCCCCTGCTGACTCACACCTTTACCTTGCTAAGCCAGTAGTAAAAGCTGGTATGGAGGGAAGGTTGGGTATGAGGCTAGCAACCCCATCCTGTAAAATAAACACCACTGCTACCGAAACTTCAAGCTAGAGGTTTGAAGCCCGATGTTCCACTGGGAACGGGAAGGAATAAAGAAAAAGATAGCCATAAAACGAAAGTTTCCAATTTATGTAATTATAATTGATATGATTATGAACAGTACTAAGTTGTTTTGATGATATTAGGTGGTTGGAGGCAATCGGCCACAGGAAGCCTTGGACCTAGATTTCGTGCTAGTTGGCACTCACAAGTCAGTCAGCAAGGCGTATCTGCAACCTTGAAGGAACAACTCGTGTCCCTTCTGAGATTCGAACCCGCGTCATGGTGGCCACACTACACACCTGACTGATAGAATTCAGTCTGTACCAAAGAAAGGACTTGACACATCACACTAGTTACTAGTGTCCAATCAAAGTACTAAGTTGTGTTCGAGACGTCATCCGATAAATAATAATACTGTTTCACTTTGTATTAAATCTAATAAACAAAATTAATATGGAATTGCACACAACTTAACTCAGCTAGCGTATACAAAGACTGACTCTTTAACTCTCCTACATTATCGATTAATTGTGGTGTGAACAAGACACATTTCCTACCTTCCTAATATTTTGATCACATACGGAGTCTCAAAACCTCAATAGTATTGACTGTTTTTAATTTATTATTTAATATCCTGACTAGTCACACATTTGCCTTGCACACAACGTGACAAATTTTCGTCTCATTTTCTATTGGGGGGATTCATAAACATGTCCATATGTCACTGTGACTCAGCCTTTTACATTTGTGTGGGTTGGATCAATAAAAACAGGGCATTTTTGTTAGCTTGCTCAGTTCCTAAATACACAAAAATGTTTGCACATATACAAGGAAATATTGACACATAAATACACACCCACACCCACACAAACATATGTTAACATGTTTAGGCTCGTTCTCGTGCTAAACTATATTATTTATGTATATATATCCTGTTATTACGTCTCAAGTGCAAGCACACAATAAAGTGCTATGTGTGTTACTCTTCTTGGTAGATTTGAAGTCGATATAATGCATTATTTGTGTTTTTTATTATTTTTTTTTAATGTTTTGCTTTTAAAATTGAGTGCAAGTCATGTATTAATATTGTTGAGGATTGTTCAGGTTATTTGATCGCCTATTGGTGTTAAATACCACTTGGAAGAATCATCACCCCAGTGTTGTTAGTAAACACAGAGCCGTAGATCAATAAATTAGCCAGTATTTAACACATAAGCATTTTTGTATGCATAAAAAAGTGTGTTATAATACAGTTGACCTGTCGAAAAAAAGTTATGCACTTCGAGATTATTATTCCCAATGAGTAATAATTAGTAATACCTGTCTGTTAGTTATAATCATCAAATGTCCCCGAACTTTTTATTTCATCATTGATTCAATGAATCATATTTGATATCTTCAGCAGTACGCACCCACCGGGGTTCGAACCCAGGACCTTCTGGTTACAAGGTGAGCTCATAATGAAATCCTGTAACCAATCAATCAAATCCCTACAAACCAACACTTGAATATCAATGAGATGCTCACTGGCGACTGGCCCTATTCAGGTAGCTAGTTACCTTGGGTTCTAGTGGGAATTCGTGACCAGTAGGGTGCAGCAGGTCGGGTGTGAGGACAAATACTCACCGAAGACATTGGCTAGCGGTTGCGCTATGTCGTGAATTGGCAGAAGTTAGAATTCATGGGCCATTGGATCGGGTCCCAGTGGCTTAATGGTATACGAGCTAGCTCGCCTTGTAACCAGAAGGTCCTAGGTTCGAACCCTGGCAGTTGAATGGGTGCGTTCTGCTGAAGAGTCCAAAACTGGGCTGTCGAAACAGTTGTCCAGTACTCCCTGCAGGTTTTCCAATGTTTCTCAAACTGATGTCAGCTCGTGATGAAGTCCTGTAACCAATCAAATCCCTACAAGCCAACACTTGCATGTTTGATATCATTCATTTGTAAATTAAGTGAGAGATTTTTTAGGGGTTTAATTTATTTCATTTTTGACCACACCTATTTCGTCCCTATTTGGGACTCATCTGCAGTATGCACCCACCGTCAGGGTTCGAACCAAGGACCCTCCATTACAAAGTGAGTTCTTAGACCATTGAGCTACTGGGACCAGATTCAATGGCTAGCCCATGAATTCTAACTTCTACCAAATTAGTGATTTTAGCGCGTCTGGTAGTAACAGATATCATCGGCGAGTATCTGCCGTCACTGCTAACCGAGTGAAACCCACTGATCACGTCTTCTGACTAGAAACAGCTGTATAGTACTCCAGTGCTGGTTTTCAATGGTTCTCTCTCTCTCTAACTGATATCAATCCATAGTCACACTTGGATTTCTTTAAATATCCAAGTACTTTAGTCACACTCCAACACCACTGAAACATAAAAAATATGAATAGCTATTTTTTGGTCTGTTTGACGATTTCCTAATGATATGAACCCACAATCCAAATTGGGAGCATAGAAAAGAAGTGTACGGTTATGCAATGAGGAAGACATTCCATTTCAATAACTAATTCGATATTCCATAATCTGCTTTCCCCTACTTTTGTCTTTCAATAATAACTTATATAGAGTAAACATTGTTCAGTGGCAAAAAAATATGCCCAAGGAAGCGGAGATGGACTGGACATACATACACTGAGGAGACCGTCGACTAACATCACATGCCAAGCTTTCAAGTGAAAGGCCAATGGCGAGTGACAAGTAGGGCTTTGGTTCAAGGATGGCATAGTGGAGATCGTGTGTGTGGGAGGGGTAGTAAATGAAAGCACATAGGACAGGGTGAAATGACGAAGTTCTGCTAAAGCGCACCCTGTATTACCACAAGGGTGTAATAAAAATAGTTTTAGTGCTTGTGATTGTGACATTGAGTAAACACACAACCCATACACAGACAAGCAAAGTATTTTCACAAATTCCCATCTTTTTCACTACTTGACCCTTATTTTTCATTAGTTAGAGTAGTAGTGTAGTAGTAGTGTGAGGAAGAAAACACCGACGAGGCTCATAAATTTGGTATACCATATCTCCAATACTTTATTTGCACATCATTCGTAAATTATTCGAATATCACTACAATCGATAGCTTGTTGGATGATTCTGCACAGTGTTTCTAACGTGTTCTCCTCACAATTCTCTTCGTCGATTGCTTTTTCCAGTGTTTCGGAAACATATTGTTGCTTTTCTGAACTCGTTTACTGATATACTACTTAAATCTGATTATAAGTAGCACTCACTACAGTAGCAGTAGTAGTAATAGGAGAAAGAGGAGGAGGAGGAGCAGTAGTTGATTTTTCC